TGATAAAGAATGTATACAAGCTTATCTTTCCGGTCTGGTGCAGCCGAAATGAGGGTGCATTGTGTTCACGGAAGTGTGGAGAGAGAGAGAGAGAGAGAGAGAGAGAGAGAGAGAGAGAGAGAGAGAGAGAGAGAGAGAGAGAGAGAGAGAGAGAGAGAGGGCTGTTGGAGAGCGTTTGGCTGGATGTTATTGCCTCTCAGAACGCTGGTATGGGAAGGAAAACAGAAGAGTGATTGTGATTGTTGATGTAATGTTTCCATGCTTTAGCTTGTCTGCTCTGATGCCTCCGTCAGGACGCACCTGGATGATCACTTGTCCAGGTAAGTGACCAGCAGCAGATGGTGTGGTTGTGAGGATGTCGTTTGCTCAAATAGGCCAAGGCGTGGCAGAATTAACCGGAAAAGGGAGGATAGGCGCTGTGACCATAGCATGGCGCACGACACGCTTGTTCGTTGGAATGTATGGGGGCTCAATGCATGAGCAAAAAGGGCATATATTAGGGGTACCCTCTTCACCCACTGTATCCAGATTGACACATTTGTTGATTTGGGGTGAAGAACCATAAGAAAAACAGGCCATATAAGGATTCATACCGTCCAACAGAATTGCCAGGTAAACCGTAGGCAGAGAGGGGGAGGAGGACAACAGATGAGGGGCTGTGTCGTATGACGATAACATTTACAGATATACAGATAGAAGGGCTTATTGTCGGCGGGTGGCGATTGCATGACGCAGTGGTTTGCAGATATACAGATCGAAGGGCTTATTGCCGGCAGATGACGATTGCATGGTGCGATGTGTGCGTGAAGTTTGTGAATGTAATATGTACATTGTTTAAACCGCAAGCACACGGCTGCAGCCTTGCAGAAAGTTTTTGTCGCCACAAGCAAAACTCGGAGGGGCCAAGTGGCATGGGGTGCCATTGAAAAAAAAAATTGGCGGCCTCCGAAGTTGTGCGGGTTTCGTGCTGACACCCGCACAACTTCGCTAATATCTATCACCTATGTACTCGTCTACCTCATCTATCTCATCTTCTCGCTAGTCTATGTACCGTACGGGGGAACGCCGACCAGCCCGGATCCCTCCCAAGCGCACGGGGTGCAAGGTTTGCACCACAGCAGTAGTGCAAGAGTAAGGCTGCACCGGCCTCTCGTCACGGTGATGCGGGGTGGCCAGGCTATTCGGATGGGGGACACCGGCGGTGCTACTGTCTTCACCCGAATAGAACGCCGGGTCATTGTAGCTGCATTTGGCCCAACTTTTAGTCGAGATGCAGCGATAATGACAGGGCGTTCTATTCGGGTGAAGATGGTAGCCCCGAGCAGTATGGGCAATCGCTGCACCTCCCCCTATACCCCCCCTCAACCCCACATTAGCGGCTAATGGCCAGTACCGTTGCTGCATAGCAATCAACAACATTGGCCAAGGTCCTGCCAATGCTGGCTTGAGGGGCCAACCGGAGCTGGTGGTAGAACACCAAGCTTGCACAGGCATGTGCATGAGGCCGATGGGAATTGAACCCACAACCTCCTGAATGTGACTTTTGTGCTTTACCAACTGAGCTAGGCCTGCAGGCCACGTTTTCTCTTTATAATGGCCCGAGAAAAGGCCTAGGGTGAAAGGGTATTATAGGGTCCAAAGCTAGGCTGTTTTCCCGGGCGCCCGGGCACCCAACTTCTGCCCGGATACTCGCCCGGGTGCCCGGCCGGGCATGACCCCCCGGGCAGGGTTCCAGGCAGCCCCAGTGCCAAAGAAAAAAAAAAAAAAAAACTCAAAAAATTCCCGAAAAAAAAAATGTTGTGTAGGATTGAAATACAAACGACTTTTGGCTGAGGGTCACATTATAATTCCTCACAGAATCGGAGATAAACAAGAAAATAACAGAATCACACAAAGGCATCCCCCTTGAGACCCCTTTAGCCCCTTTAAAACCAATTTATACCCCCCCCCCCCCCCCCCCTTGACAGCCAACTCGCAAAAAACGAAATGAGCCCAGATTTGGAGTCCTCTGGGAGAGCGTAGGAAACCAAAATAAATAAATAAATAAATAATCTTTTTTTGTTGTTTTTGTTGCACGCCCCGGTGCCCGGCCGGGCAGGACCGGCCGGGCCTCCAAAGTTAAAAGAGGTGACCTACCCATGAGCTGAGCAGTTGAAGAGATCTAAGTTCATTTCCAGATGCAGTCAGATTAACAAAATAACATGCTTGTGAATTACCTAGGACAAAAGAATCAGGAGACCCTTGCCCCGATGTGAGACGGTAGACTCTTGGGAATTCAAGATTCAGGCCCAAGCCGGGAAAAAGCAGCCCAAGAGTCAAGAAGGATGTCTCAGCAGTCGGCCATGGCCATAGATCAGATGCACAATCAAAGGCTGTCTGCGCATGCCCCGGGAGATTCCGGTATCCATTGGGACAAGGCACATTTGGCGCCGACAGCGAATTTGGGCCGTACAAGATTGAGAAATCTGGACCATCAAAGGAGGCAAGCGGAGGCAGGCCAGCACTAATCGAGACTAAAAAAGAGGAGCCCACACCCAGCGAATGGATCGTTCTGCCTTGCACATTCTAGCGGCCAGACTAAACACTAGAAAGTAAGGAGAGGCTGGTGCCAGAGGGAGGAGGAGAGTGCAAGCCAATAGAGGAGTGTGGTGGGGCCGGCCATAGCTAAGGAAGGGCGCTCTGCTGCCGTACGCATAGGGAGAAAAGAGGGCGAGGGAGAGCGTGATCAGGACTGTTTTTGGGTGGGGACGAGGAGTGAGTACGTTGGATGCAGCTTATCTCTACTTACCTGGATGCTGGTGATATTGAGGGTTTTTTTTTTTTTCACTTTTTTTTTTGTTGTTGTTGTTATTGAGGTTCCTACTGGTCACACGTCAGCAGGCTGTAGAAGGCTGGTGCCAGATGGAGGAGGAGGAGGAGGAGGAGGAGGAGAGCGCAAGCCAAGAGACGAGTATGGTGGAAGGGGGCTCTGCTGCCGCAGCGGTAGGGCGAAGAGCGGGCGAGGAAGAGGGTCATCAGGACTGTTTTTGTGTGTGGAAGAGGAGTGAGTAGGTGGGAAGAGGCTCACCTCGACTTGCCTGGATGCTGGTGATATTCCAGCAGGTGATGCTCCCGACCAATAGATGGAGCCTCTCCCCGGCTGCTAGTGCTGCCTGCTTGTACAAACAGCACTAGCACTGCAGGGGGTGTTGAAAAAAGAAAAAAAAAGAAAAAAAAAAGAAGAATTGAAGTTGCTGCTGGTCACATAAAAAAAAAAAAAAAAAAAGGGACGCTGGAGAAGGCTGACGGCCACCTCAATAGCCTGTATTGACGCTGGAGGTTGGGTGCCATAGCTAGAACGTGCAGAGAGACTACATCAGCGACTTTGAGGGACAGACTTGCGTTGCTGACGTGGCGAGTTGATGGAGGGAGGATTGCAAAGGCGAAGAGGGGTGCAAGAACCGGCTTTTTTGTACTGTTTTGATTATTATAATTTATTAATGAAACTATTCTTTCTCTCTGCCTTTATTGCTTCTCTTTCTTTGTCTATTTTCTGGTGACTCGTCGCTGCTCATGCTGTGAGCCTGGGACTATTTGAGTAATCCTCGACTTTTTTTTTTTTTTTTTTTTTTTTTTTGGAAAAGCCCTTCTGCAACGTCTCCATCCCGGTGGTGGTAAGAACCACCGGAATTGAGGCTTTTCGTTTTTTCGGGTTGCTCCATCTGTTGGTCGGGAGCAGCACCTGCTGGAAACCGGGGGCTAGGTCCCACTTGCACAAATTAAGAGATGCTGACCGCAGATAACAAGGATCAACAGCCGAAATCTCCTAATTTGTGCAAGTGGGACCTTGCCCCGGGTCCAGCATCCCATAGATTCATCATCATATAAGACCCGTGTTTCTTGGGGGCGTGGTCATATCTGTCCGTAGTCTGGGAACACCATCTTGCCGTTGAGGTTTGTAAACATCTCCCTTCCCACTTCTAGTGCTCCGACTTCTAGTGTGCTCCGACTTCTAGTGTGCTCCTACTTCTAGTGCTC